CATCGGAGTGTGAATGTGTATGAATGTTAGATACTTAGCACTTAAGCTTAGAAGTGCTTGTGTGAATGGGTGTGATTGGGTGAATGAATTAGCTGTATAAAGCGCTTTGAGTGCTCGGACAGAGTAGAAAAGCGCTATATAAGAACCAGTCCATTTACCATTTACCATCTTGGCACCCTTTCCTGTTCAGTCAACTATTCAGTCTGTCTAATTGTAGTGTCGTGAACTTTAACCTGCTCACAGAGGGCTGTAGAGTCTAAGATGCAGCTCTTGGGTTTTCTTGAAATTCTCTGAGAACTGCACAGTCTGACCTTAGAGTGAGTTTGCTGGGATGTCCACTCTTGGCAACTATCTGAAATGTTTTACACTTGTGAGTAATCTTTCCCACTGTATAGTGATGAAATTCAATTAGTTTGGAAATGGCCTTATAAACCTTCCAATACTGATGGCCAGAAACTGTTGTTACTCTAAAATAACGCTTAAATGCTCGCACCTTCTGATGTTCAGTTAATCAAGTGCATTTCATTAGACCCCGGCTGCTACTTACCCTACGAATTCCTATGGAAGCAGTTCGAGTGTATTTGGCTTTTCGAACACTGTGTCTGCATTTTTATTTAGTTTTTCTTAAACAGATAATGACACAGTGTCATAGGCCACATGTTCTAGTTCATCTGGGGTTGTATTTATCTAATTTGAGCTATTTTTTGCTGTCATTTTAATATGTTTGTCGGAAACGCGTCTCTCTCATAAATGAGACATTGAGTCTCAACCTGTGTTCATAAAAGTTAAATTAACCCTTAAGGACCCACAGTGACACTGGTGTCACTGCCTCTTTACACTTAGAGACTTGGTTATATATGATTCATTTGATATAAGACCCCCGTAATTTTCATGAAAGTAGAAATAGGTCTGGGCTCTTAAGGGTTAAATAAGTAAACAAACCTGTCCTGATATATAACACTTCACTGGCTTTCATTTTCACACAACTGTATTTTATAACTATATAAACAATGCTTTTGTGAGATAACAGAATATTTTCTTTCAACGCGTCTGCTCAGATTCTTTCCTCGTTGTTCTCTTCTGCTTCTTTTTTTTCTTTTTTTTTATTTGGGACTCAAAAAGATACATCAAAAAAAAGTTATTATCATTATTTTTGACTCACTTGTAGATGTGGAACTGAAAAATATTAAACAAACTCTTGGTTTCAAATTGTATATTTTAGATTAAAATGCTCATCTAAGGCTTGATAAGCTCGTAACATTTTAATGAAAGAAAGGATAACAAACAGAATCAGAGTTTGCAAGAATAGTTATACTTTACATAGATTACTTTGGTTCTGACACCATGCTGACAGGAAAATCATATAGATTAGATATAGATATATATTGATTTAATAAGATGCTTTTTCTGGTGCTTGAAAGTTACACTTTTAGTTCTCTGACCAAGATACAGCTCTCGATGATGGATCATCAAGGCTTGTAAAACTACATCCAACTAATAAGCCACAAATCAAGGTCTTAGAAACCGGACAGATCAGTGGGGTTTTTTTTGTTTTGTTTTGTTTTTTCTTTTGGGGGGGGTGGGGGTTGTTAAAAACATTTTTTTAAATATATTTTTAAAGTAAAATACTATAGCTATTTTAACTTTTTGTAATGTCATATAGGAAATGCTTCCACAAGAACTTTAATAAACGGTTGTAATATTTGTATAAGAGATTATTTTCAATTTAAAAACATAGACTGTCATATCCAGATGGTGTTTTTGGTTTACAGCAGTAAATATTAGAACACCATGCTAAACGGCCCTCCCTCTGCTCCTACAGGAGTCACACTAAGAGTTCAAGCCGTCGTTCCAATAGCAAAGAATGTTCCAGCCTCCCTCGCCACGGAGACCTCCATCACCTCGGGAATGAGAGTTTTCTCAACGGCAACAAACCGGCACCATCCAGTTTAAGTCCGACTCTGCACCCCAAGGGCCAGTACATGTCCCAGACTCTTAATCGTTCTATCTCCTCCAGCAAAGATCTGGTTAACAACAACCTGCCACACCTGCTCAGCCCCAAAGAATCCAAAAGCAAAACAGAGTTTGATTTCAACTTGGGGCCCTCCCCGAAGTTGCCGGACCAGGGACATGGGGTAAAGTATGGCCACGGCAAACCCAGCTCCTCTCGCTCTCAGCAGCAACAGCAGCAGCAGCAGCAGCAGGTCAGTCGGCACACTTTCCTGGAAAACAAAACTAACACCCTACAGTCTGGGGCAGAAAAACAACACAGTCGACACGCCCACAGTATGGCCGACTCTGCCCACGGATCCATGTCCTCATCCTCTAAGAGCTCAGCGTCTTATCTCAGTCTGTCCAAGAGCCACAGCGGACTGAGCGATGCCAAATCTGTGGGGAATCTCAGCGACGGTCGACTCCACCCGGATGACCCAAACTCTAACACGACAGCTGGGGTGGGACCCAGTGCCCGCTTCTTCCCTGCCAGCTGTTTAGACCTCAACACCCCTTCAGGTCCTTCTGGGCCTCCTGGCAGCCCCTCTACTCGACACAGTGATCGATCTGGACACAGCCCCGCCTCTCGTAGCAGCGGCAATGCCCGCATGGAGAGCAGCACGCTGGACTCTTCATCCAGGCACAAATCCAGACATAAATCTTTAGTGCCAGGTAGGTTTCATTCAAGTCTATTCATTTTACACTTTAAAAGCTTTATAAAAAAACAAAACAAAAACAAAACACATCATCACAGTGGATTCCAGCAAGAAAAACAAACAAGGAAATGAAAAAAGATTAGCCTGATCACTTCAATTAGTTTGGACAGTTAAATAGTAGAACACTTGTAACTGTTCACTTATTGCTCTGCTAACTTTGACTTCTTTTCTCATCTCCAGAGGACGCTGGTGCTCCGGAGCTCTTGGACCCAGGAGGACCTGGGATGCCCTCCACTCACACTCTGCCTTCCCCTCACGAGTCTTATCATTACGGCCTCGGCTATACCTCGCCTTTCTCCTCTCAGCAGCGGCCACAGCGCCACTCCATGTACGTGAGAAGGGAACGCCACCGACCACACGGAGTGGAGACGGCGATGGCGGGCTTGCCTCCGCCGGGGCAGGCGATACCAACACGAGCCAGTAGCCTGCAGCTCCTCTCCCCACAGCTGCAGCACAGGACCACCCTCGCTGGACACTCAGTGAGTTCTTCGAGGGAGGACTGCACGGACGACATGACGAGGGTTAGTGGCAGAAAGTGCCTCGATCGTGGCAGGATTGAGTCTAAAATAGCAACAGACACACAATGAAAAGCTTAAATTAGGGTGCATTATGTTGAATGGTGACAGCAGTTTTTGTAGTTCCCCACACACTTCCCCACCAATCTGAAAAACCAACACCAGTCATCGCTCATAAGGATTTCTAAACACATTGCCATTGTTAATGCCAGAATTATCTGACCAGGATCTCTCCACATTTTAACGACCGAGTCCAGAGTCCTCCAAAATTAAAAAGAACTAAAATTGCTGTTTGCCCCACTTTTAAACCCATTTGTCCTAATGCTAGTACAGCAAACCACAAACAAGGTCAAATGGTGCATTTCAATGACATGAATTAGTTCAGAAAGTACCTTTCAGACACTAAGCTTTGATAACACTAAAATGGGTGAAGTGCAAGAACTATTCACCCCGATATATTTGTCAAGAAGGGACAATAAATAAGCCGTATATATATTTCAAAAGAGCTTTGTGTCAGACTAAACCTGGGCATTTAATAGGAGCCTCTGTGGGGGTTGACTCACTTTTGGAGTCCGATCCAAGTGGCCATTCGAGGAACTGTTTTTGGTGTTTCCAAACAGGCTGCCGCTTACTCATGTACAATAGAAATAAGTCATAAACACAAGTAAAATTGCCCAAAACACACAAAATTTCAACCTCCACAGCAATAGTGGCACAATAACACATAAATGATGTGTCAAAAATTGTTTTAAAAGGGATGTTGACGGTGATTGGAAAGCACTAAGGTCAGCAGAAAAGGCAGGTGAGGTGTTGCTCATTCGTAAAAGACTTTGACATTTTAACTTAATTTCTCGTGAGATAATGGGAGGTGGGTGCAGCGTCAATGTTTTAACTTTTCAGTAAGTGCTTGAAAACCTTTTTCTGTTTCCCAAACACGATCACTAAAGCTCTGCGTCTGCAGTTTAAAAGCCCGTCTGAAGGCAATAATAACTGGGGCTGTTTTCTTGGAATTGTTCTAAGTTACAGAAAGATGATGGAGGATGAGGCAGGTTGGTGAAAAATCACACAGAGACAAAATTACAGTTCCTGAAATGTATGAAAGCTCATCCACGGAAGATATTAAACAATGGAAGCGGAACAAAGGGTGAAATGTTCCTTTGTTATGTGCACTGACTGTCTGTGCGCGTGTGTGTGTTTGTGAGTATGGGTGTTTCATGATGTGATGTGCGTGTGTGTGTAGGAAGTGCCACTGTCTCGCATTTTCATTGCCACTGCTTCATGCTGCTTCTCCAGTCTGCTTTGACCTGCAGCTGTCCGTCTTCTCAACAGAGTGAGCAGTCCCCTAAAGACATGAGCCACCCTTGTGCCCCCATCAAAGACTCTACGCGGGACAACACTGCTGCTTTTCTTACACAGCGCTCTAAAAACGAGGTCCGACCCCCCGACTCCTCCCTGTCTCCAGCCAGTTCAGCAAACACAGAGAGTAGCTCTTCTGACTGCTTTTCTTTTTGTGTTCCTACTTAAGCCAACAGCTTCACTGCACGTTGTCGCTGGTATAAATGTAGCCTCACTGAAAAGCGCTAAGATGTCCTGAATGTTTGTGTTGTAAGCCAGAAAAGACTGCGATAGCTAATGATAAGGGATGAAGTGAGATTAAACAGGAATGTCGCTTAAAACAAAAAAGGCTGAGAAAAAAAATTGTATGTTCCTGTTTCCCTGTGTGTGTTCGTGGGTCTGCACGATGTGTGCACTCTTTAGGTTGGCATGTACCACGACCCTCATGTTGAGGACGGAGCTTCCTCCAAGGAGAACCGGATGATCTTCACTGAGTCCATGCCTCGGAGAGTAGGGAGCTTTTATCGAGGTAAGGAGCAAGAAATAACAGTAAAACCTGTATGGTTCCTCTTTCTTTTGTTTATTATTTCTTTGACACAAAGAAGATTACAGGTCACACATTCATCATATTTAAATGATCAAAAACAGTCATTTCCACCTCTCGTTGTTTCGCCTCAGTCCCTTCTCCCAGGCCAGATAACTCCTCTTTCCACGACGGCGTCGGCCAGGGTCGAGGCCCAGTCGTACCCATTGTACCCGGAGACCCTGTCGCCATGGCCAACCACTCCAAACGCCAGACTGCTTTTGACTGGTGAGAGTTCATTTGTAGTCTTTATGTGGCATGTTGACGCAGCAGTGCAGTAACTGTAGGAACAACAGTGGATTAAAGAAACATGAACAACTTTTAAATTGTTAAGCCTGCTGTTAGAATTGTGCACGTCCAGTACAGAGTGTGTCAGACGTGCAGGACATTAATGGATGAAAACGTTTTGTTTTGGTTTTTTTCTTCTTTATAGTTTCCTTCCCCGATCTGAACATCATCCCTGCTGTTAAAGTGTCTGACTTTTTTTTCCCTCGCTGTTACATGACAGTGTGTCATTAACACCAATTAAGATCTATTGTTCAGACTCTGTGCTGCTGCACTGAATACATATAAACTCTTTATATATATGATGGGTTATTCCATGAGATTGTCACATTTATTGATTTTTTTTTTTTTTAAGATAACTAATTCACTAATAAAATCTGTACTTGCAAGTGTTCTATATACACTTACCAGTCACTCTGTTTAGCTGCTCATTAATACAAACATAAAATCAGCCAATCACATAGCACCTTAGTGAATTTAGGCATGTAGATATGATCTGCTTAAGTTCAAACTGAGCATCAAAGTGAGGAAAAAAGAGGATTTAAGTGATGTTGAATGCTGTATGGTTGTTTTTTGAGCATTTCAGAAACTGCTGATCTACTCTGATTTTCCCACACTGTCATCTCAAGGGTTTGCATAGATCCAAAAAAGAGAAAATATCCAGTGAGCAGCAGCCTCTGGGTGAAAGAGCCTTATTTGTGTAAGAGGTCAAACGGCTTCAAGGTTACTGGAAAGCAACAGTAAATCCAGAAAACACGCATTACAACCAAGGCATGCAGAAGCCTTGGTTGTGAACCTTGAACCTTGAAGCAGATGAACTACAGAAGCAGAAGACCACACTGGGTGCCACTCCTCCCAGCTAAGAACAGGAAACTGATGCTACAGTTTTCATAGCCTTACAGTTGAAGAGTGGAAAACGCTGCCTGGTTTGATGAGTCTTAGTTTCTGCTGCGACCTTTGAATTTTAGGGTCAAACTTTGGCATAAAAAGATGAAAGCGTGGCTCTATCCTGCCTCTCAATGGTTATGGCTGCTCATACTGGTGTAGAGATATACCAGATACTAGTATGGAGATATTTTCTTGGGACCCTCTGGGACCCTTACTACCCTCAACTAAGCATTGTTCAAATGCCACAGCCTATCTGAGTAGACCATTTCCATCCCTTTATGACCACAGTGTACTCATCTTCTGATGGCTACTTCCAGCAGGGTAATGTGCCGTGTCACAAAGCTCAAAAAATCACAAACTGGTTTCTTTTGATATACCTTTATTAGTCCCACAAGGGGAAATTTCATAAGGCTGCCAGCCTATTGCACGCAATGGCGACGCCATCTTACCCTCCAACCATACATACATTACACAAAACATCACACGGGAAAGACAGGTCAGAGAGGTATAACAATGGAAAATGCGCCACATGAGGAAAGATAAGGAGAAAAAAATAACTCCCCCCAGACTGAGCTCCAACAGGGAGATCAGTTTGAGAACAGAAAAAAACACCTCTGCACATAGCACATGAAAAAAAACTCTTAATACACCAAAGAAGAGTTCTTAAATATGACACTGAGCTCATTGTACTTAAATGGCCTGCACAGTCACCAAATCTCAGTCCAATAGAGCATATTTGGGATGTAGTGGAACCATAGATTCTTATAATGTACAACCAATGAACCTGTGATGCTATCATGTCAACATGGACCAAAATCACAAAACTGGGTTTTGCTTTGTTTATTCTTCAAGTGGGTTGTTTGTGGTATCAGTGGCTACAGAAGAAGCCTGAGTTCCTCAGAAAGAGTATATTGTTTTTTACGTAATGACTATTTTATTCAGATTCCTTATTACAACATATTTTTTTTAGATTTTCTGTTTCAAAGCATGAATAATTTGATTAAGTGTTTCCGTTTTCACATGCAGCTGGTTTGAAATTGTAAATCGTGAGGATTATTAAGTTAGACTCCTTTACTGTGCTGCATGTGTTATTTCATAGTGTATGGTTTCTATGTATTACTGTACTATGTATTTTGTTTGCTCCCATGCACGTTATAATCCAAGTCATATGAAACGTTTCTTTGCCATGCAGGACTACTGCAGAAGCAATGGTCATGAATCCTCCAGAGCCCGCCAAAGAGAAGGAAAAGCAAGGCTTCTTCAGAGCCATTAAAAAGAAAAAGAAGAAGTCACAAATAGTAAGATTATTAATGACTTTTTATTAATAAGATTATTCTTGTCACCTGGTTTTTCAAATCAAATATTTGTATTTTGGTTCCATGTGCTGTGCGCCTTTTGAGTTTAGCACGTACTGATTGTAAGGCAGAATCTGCAGTGTCAATATTTTCTTGCAAAAATGTTTCATATGAGCTTAACACTGACATCTAGTAAGATTAAAGGGAAATTCGAATTTATTAGAAAGCTCTTAAAATATCTTAAAGCAAAAGTTGCTCTGAAGTTTCACCGTCTCTTTTTTGCTTCCTGTTTATCACATATTCCTCCTCCTCTGCAGTTGTTCTTCTCTTGGATGTCAGAGATTTGTGTTTAGAGTTGTGGCTGTGCATCTTCTGCTCCACAGACCGACATGGAGGACGGGAGGAATCCCAGCATCAAGAAAAGCCTTTTTCCCCTCTTTAGCTCTAAAAATAGCTTAAAGCACAACTCAGCTGTCAAAGTCCTACCTGTAGTCGCCTCGCCTATGGTACAACACCAGCCTGCCGCGCCCTACCCTGCCTCACCAGTAATCTAACCCCGACGCTGTGGCTGCATGTTGACTTATTTTGCACTCACTGGAATGACCCAGCTTGAAATCCTCTCAGTTGACTGATTGATTGGCTAAAGAACATTTTTTTGCTGAAAGGATTTCAAACACAAACATATATTTAATGCTGCACGCTGTTTTCACATCCATTTTGTCGTGCTATAACGTTTGTCAAATGCAGTCACGTTGCACTCACATTGCATCATGAGACATTTCAACGTGCAGTGTGCTGTTTGTCAGGCCAGCGTAAGGCATCATTTTATCATGAGAGGGTCACGAACATGTTCAGCACACGAACACACAATCCTGCTGTAGAAATTACTGGTCTCTTTGCTATGTTGTGTAATAATGCTGAAATCATGAATAGTTATTTCATAAAATGTGCTCATTTAGCTCCTTTCTGAGAGCTAGATTAGGCTAACTAGCTATCTTAGCAAGGCTGGAAACAAGGAAAATGGCAGATAATTCAACTTATCAGCACTTCCTAAAAGGAGCTGATTATTCTTTTCCTTATTCTCTGTTTCTTTACTTGTAGTGCACCTGGTTACATTTTCTGATAATGATGCTACTATGTGCAAATAATCCCTATGAGGTAAAAGCTTAGGCTAAACTTCTATATACAAATACTTATAGAATTTTTTTTTTTTTTTATTTCTTTGATCTGTTCGTCTTAGTATGGTCAACTCAGCTAGACAGATCTGGCTGTAAGCACAGTAGCCCCACCCATTTTTTAAAGACTTTTTGTTTGTAAAGGGTGACCAATCAGATGAAAGTTGTATTAAACTGAGGCGGAGTTAAAAAAGGAGGAGCTAGAACAGATTGTTTCAGACAGTGGATGAACAGAAGGGCTGCACGAGTGTACAATATACAATGAAATATTTTGAAATAACAGTGCAAAACTACTCCTTATGTAGTCCAAAAAATACAGAACTGGAATAAGGAAAAGAAGTACACTTTAAGTAGTTCTTATGTAGCCAACTGGTACATGAAGCTGAGTAATTGTGTATGAAGCGAAAAGAAAAAAGGCCAAAGATTTATTAGTTTCATTTTACCAACAGTAAGAATTTGCTGTTTGTCGCAGGTTTGTATCATTTTTCTTTTTGACCTTTTATGCAAACAAATGACCAACTATCAAACTGCCCAGTGATGAAATTAATTATTAGTTGCATCTCCAGTTTATATTAAAGCTTATCTAAACACACTCAGACACCAGAGCAGAGAGTTAAGCATTTTTTCATAAGACAATCATCATCGCCACTTTCTTGTCTTATGTCTGTTTCTGCCAGAGCAGTGCATGAAGGGCTTCACTGGGATTTTAGTGAGATGTGCGATCATCATTTTTACGTATTTGTTTTGGATTAAAAATAACACTTCCATATTTCTATTTCTGGAACGTCAGGTTCCCGGGAACGGACAGGATCACTTGTCCCTGCAGAGGAGCTCCAAGTCGTCCTCTCACCACAGCAGCCGGCGGAAAAACCGCGAGCGATCCCGAGACAGAGATCGAGACCGGGAACAGAGCCGGGACAGAGACCGAGACAGGGAGAGGGAACGGGAGCGAGAACGAGAGAGAGAAAGGGAGAGAGAGAGGGAGAGAGGGAGGGAGAGAGAGAGAGTCACTGACTGGCCGGACAAACAAGTGGACTCACACTCTCAGGTATGTGCCTACTTTAATCTTCAGTTTAGATTTATCTGCAGATCACAACCCAGTTTGAGTCTTTCATCTGATTTTCTTTATTAGATTTTTTTTTAAAAACAATACTTTATCTTGTCATACATACTTAAGTTTTCCTATAAATTATATACTGAAGTCACGAAACTAGAATATATAGCGCCGTGCTCATAAAAAGTGTCATAATAAAGCTCCCAAGACTCAAGGCCCAAAGAAAGGGAAACTGTATAATCTATAAAAGGTCAAAGGTTTTTAATAAAACTGAACCTTAAGAAGAACCTTGAGAATGAAAAAAAAAACAGGCCTTGTAGAAGCACATTTAGTATTAATGCCATTCTCGCATTATTCCTACATTTACTTTCATGCTTTTAGGAGTACAAAGGAGGAAGCTATTTCCACACATGCAGTGTAGACCTGAACTTTTCCAGACATTACCCAGCAGTAGGGCACCCAGGTGTCCCACTTTATGTAGGACAGCACAGTGTTTTATCCTCCGTTCCCCCAACCCACATAGTGAGACAATGCCCCACATTCTGATTTAGTGGAGTCAACACGTGTTAGTCTCAAAGGAAGCAAGTGGTTTACTCAAACCCAAAGATGATTAGCAGGGAGAACAGCAGCTGGAGTAACCATTAAGGTTTAAATGTTATTGGGACAGAAAGGGAATAAATGAGTGAAAGAAAACTATTCAACAAAATCAAACCTTAAGCTTGAATTTATTTTTATTGCATTTATTTATAATGGGACTTAAAATGTTACAATTTGCAATTTGTTCTTCACAAACCACTAATTAAAATCAAAGTAACCGAAACATTAGTAGCATTTCCTGCCTTGTCCCACATACACATGCTGTTTGACCCACAGTTAGCTTTTGGGATCTGGTCACCCTACCTAACAAAAGATATATTAAAACACAAAGGTCTGATATTAAAATCAGTTTTATCCTGCCAGCTATTTACTATTAAAGCAACTGTTTAATTTAAGAATATAGCTGGTAATGTTGCTGGGAAAGACTATCTCCTACTGTATAGTGCATGTGAGACTGACCTAGATTCTCCCAACAGTGTGTGAGACTGGCTTTAGTACTCGGCAGACAGAAAACATCATTTTCACCCATCAACTCCAGACAATGTCAGGAGAATCAGGTCGGGGTTTTGTCTGAAGTTGACCTTTCTTTCAAGTGGCACACAGCAGGAGATAGTCCTCCTCAGGTCCATGCTCACTAATCGAAATGCACATTTTAGGCAAGATAGCTACCTGGGGATAGCATCCTTGAGCCAATGTGAATTCAACAGACAGTTACCTGCACTACTGTCATATGGCCTCAGCAGATGTGACACACTGTTGGGCTTGGTCATGAGATTTGTAAACAATAACAAAAATATAGTCTTATTTTTTAAGATAATTCATCAGTGGTGTCTCTTTCCCCCCCTGCCAGAGCCAACCACTCAAGTCACTACGTAGGCTCCTTCACCTCTCCCCTTCTTCCTCAAATCAAGGACAGGCTCCCCCTCCTCCTCCTCCTCAAGACCTGCGCTTCCAAGCCCCCATGCCCAACCCTCCTCAGCCCTCCTCCAAAGCAGGCTACCCCGAGGGTCGAGGTCATGCCGACAGCAGGGGGCACACTGGGGTGAGCAGCTCCACCCAGGCTAAGAGCCGCAAGGCCAGCTACCCCCTGCCGGGACAGATAGAGTCCAGCTGGCACGTATCTGCTTTACAGCGGGCAGAGGGCGCTCAGTTCACCCCTGAACAGCTGGGCATCAAACCGGGTCAGAATGGACCCACTTTTACCCGAGCCTCCCGCACCAGGATGCCAAACCTCAACGACCTGAAGGAGACCGCCCTCTAAAACCTCTCAACCACACCACCTCCGATGCAGCTCCATCCCGGAAGCACCTGCCAGAATGCAGACATCGTAGTACTGCAGTAAGGGTCTACACAAGAGCCTTTTTCACTGGATCAAGTCCTAATTCAGAAATGTAGTAATCTGTCGATGCTCATGCCTCTGAAATCTAAAAGCCTAGACGTTGACCGGCCAAACACCTGGGACAGTGTGGTTTAGGGAAGCAAAGATAGGGAAGGGCCCATCCTTTCTTGAGATGCCAGTACTGTATCAGCTCTATATTATTGTCTGTCTCTACTTGCAAGGTTACATCAGAATAAGCTGATCATCCCTGTCAAGGAGACACTGCCCATGTGGCCTCTTTGCTGCCATCTTCTGCTCACAGGACGCTACTGCAACACATTAGACAGCCGCTGTCATAGCAGTGGCCAATAAACTCAAATGTTTTTCAAGCTCTGATATTTGATAAGAACATAAAAAATGATTTATATTAACATTATTTATGAAATATTTATTTGTTTTAAATTCAAGGATATAAGCTATAAATGACACAGTATGTAGGTTATATGGGAATATTATAAGGTAATATAGAATTAAATGTGTAATTGCAAGAGCTTTAGTTTCGACACAAAGAAATGCATAGATATTTATGTGTTGATAATACAATATGTCACAAGGAATATTTAATAATGGTGAATGTCTTTTTTTTTGTTTGTTTGTTTGATTTGATATGTTATTAGCAGATTATCATGTTATGTTGTTTTTACCCTTTTTTCTGATTGTTTCATCAAAATGTAAAAAGAAATACTGACAAATATATAAAATATCTGATATTACAAATAGTGCAAATCTGCCCATCACCCTCATGACATCAGTTTTGACGTTTTGTGACAAGTTGGGCTATTTGTTAGCAGGGTTTGGTAGCAGAACAGCCAGAGTGAGACTGTTAGGCTCTGTGCTTCACATATTGTAATTGTCAGGTCATTTTATCTTACATTCCCATTGTCGCAGTTTTCAAATTTGCCCATTTTTCAGTCCCTCAGTTCGTTTAGTGACAAACAGCTTTCCAGCATCTTGTTGCTGCCATGTTGGTTTTGTCCACAGCCTTAAAAACCATTTAACGGGCATCTTCGCCCACATCACCACGCAGCTCTAGTGAGGGAGGTTTACCTAACATGACATTGAAAATTTAAAGTGTTTTGAGACGGCAGGGAAGCTCTCTGCAAAAAGGCATACCTCACCTGCAACCTTTAAAATCTTAAAGGATAAGTCTGGTAATACTTTATCTTTATCCATTTATTTATTTTGTCAGAAATTCCAAGTGCATTGTCTGTGCAGCCAAAGTGGGGTGTATGTGCTCTAAAAATCTTTAGATTCATTTTAATTTGTTATTGAAATTTGTTATTGACTAAAGTAGAGAATATGCTCATTTAAATATAGTAAGTACAGTACTTGAGTGAATGTGGTTTCTTACATCCCCCCACTGGCTGGGTGTGGGCTTTTCATAGGACTTTGCTGACGTCATGAATTATATGAAATAACACCAGACTTATCCTATAATATGTGTTTACATTTCCTGTGTGCATTTTAAAAGCTTGTGTTATCAAGAGTTTTGTAAAAGTCTTTTGTAAATCTGAATTTGATTTTCCAATTTGCATTACTATTAACATTAACAGTCATAATCAGGGATGATTTTACTTAACTTGATTGTTCATTAAAGCATTTACTAATTGTCTTCTGATCTGTGGGCAATGTAAAGCTGAGGTGTGTAGAATGAAAAACATTTTGTGGCCTAGGGGAAGTATACAGCATTGTTTTTCCCCAGTTTTTCCATTATTCTTCATTCTGTCCTCCTTAATAGAAAATAGTATTAAGGCCGCTGGGGAGGGGGGGACCAAAAACAAAAAAAACAGTCTTGCTACATTATTCTCAGAATTTTGATTTTAATTTGAGAATTCTGACTTTTTCTCAAAAATCTGACTTCAGTTGCATAATTCTTTAATCTGACAATTCTGACTATTTTTCCAGACATTTTGCTCAAACTTCTGACTTGTTCTCAAAAGTCTGTCTTTAATCTAAGAATTCTAACATTCTCCACAAAAATCTGAATTCAGTTGGGAAATTTGGACTTTTTTTGTTTTTCTAAAAATTCTGATTTTAGCAATTCAGGTTTTTTTCCCAAAATTCTGACTTTTTCCAAAATTCTGACTTTTTCTCAAAATTCTGACTTTTTCCCGAAATTCTGACTTTTTCTCAAAGTCTGACATTTGCAATTCAGGCTTTTTCTCTAAATTCTGGATGTAATCTAAGAACTGTGACCTTTTCCTCAAAAATCTGACTTCAGTTGCAAATTTCTGACTTTTTTTGTTTTTCTCAAAATTCTGATTTTAGCAATTCATGCTTTTTCTCAAAAGTCTGTCTTTAATCTAAGAATTCTGACCTTTTCCTCAAAAATCTGACTTCAGTTTTCTCAATGTCTGTCTTTTCTTCAAAACTCTGAATTCTTCTCAAAATTATGATTAACTCTCAAACAAATCTCTCTCTCAGAGAATTCTTAGTTTAAAGTTAGACTTAAGATTTTGTTTTCCTCAGGATTTTGAAGGGGAAAAAAGTCATGACCTCAAATTTTTTCCCCTTCAGTGGCCTTAATTCCCTTTCATACCTTTGTGATTTGAAAGCATAAAGCAAAAATGCCATCACAGACAAAAGGAACAAAGAAAAGAAGAATTGTCCATGAAAAGTTTGGATCCTCATTTGGTGAAAATAAGAATCAATCACAGTAAATTGATGGTTGACTGAAAGCAATAACACTCATAAAAAGACTCGGAGTGATGCAGATTGTATTAGCCAAATCAGCAGCTAGATGGATTTGAGCCAAATATAGCACAAAGAAGGATTTCCTGCAGGAGACTGTGATTACAGCAAGTGTTGGCAACTGTTGGTATGTGACATCACATCATTCTGCAATACATTTTTTAAATTTTTCTTAAGTTTATCCCACAGAAGGTAAAACTGTCCCATGTTGTGCGCTTGTGTACAAAATCCTCATTGCTAATGATTGTAAATGACTGCTGACATGGGTTTGTTTATATCACTAATGGGACAAAGTGATGATGAAGTTTACCTTGCTAGTGACCCGAAGCCTTACGTTAGTTTATCGACTCAACGCGTCAGATGGAAATGAAGGCTTCAACCCTCAGCAGGTCGCACACGCTGAAAACTGAGATGAGAAGAAGACTTTTTGTTCAGAAATATGAATGTGTTTCCTATAACATCAATTCTCTTTTTTTTGTCATTAAGCTGTTTCCCACTTCTGACAGGGTGTAAATAAAAAATAACAGAGTATCTATACTGACCGTTCTACTTTAAAAATGATAGGGTCTCATAATAAATGCCAACTGTACATTTTTGAATGTCTCGGAGTTTGTTTTGGAGCACAGACGCAACATAAAAACAGACACATATTTGTTTATTCAAGGACATGGTTTAAAAATACAATAAAGAGAACATCTTCAGAGCGATTCAACTCTGCAATGTATTCCTAAGTGTAACGGGAAATTTAAATATAACATTAAAGAAAGCAATCAGGAATTTTTAACAACAGCACCAAACGACAACAAAAAAATCAAACAAGAAAACAGTAACTCAAATGAGGCAATAAGACCAAAAAAAAAATCCGTACTAACAAATTCATTGAAAAGACTAAAGACAGCAGTCTGTTACACCTATCCGATTATCTAACAGCTGTGCACAACATCTGGTGGTAACTGGTGTTTAAGCTGCAGAATAATATGCATTTGTTCTCATTTGACCCACCAGATGATAAATTATGTATATATGACTGTTTACTATATATTATATTTGGACAAATAATTAATTAGAAATGTAAAAAAGCAAAACAAACATTCAAAATTAAATAAATAAAATCAGAATTTAAAAAAATGCTGTAAATGCAAACAGTAATTGTAATTAGGATGACCTTGTTGTTGTTTTCGGTCTTTTCATGGGATTTGCTGAAAATATGAAAAATGCAGACTACTACCACACCGATTCATTAAGGTAAATAAGGAGGGGAGACTTACTGTGTAAATTCCCAGCTACGCTCAGATTATCAGGAGAAGCAGACAGAATTTTATTGACCTATCACAG